AATAAGCCATCGACCGGTTTATTCGACTGACTACTTGATTTGGACTTAGGGTCGACTCAGTCTTTGTTTAATGCTTCATTAATTGCATTGTGGGAAATTAGCACTCTGTCCATTTTGAGTGGTTTCATTACAGCTCTTATTAAAATATCAATAAATACTAATTGTCTTTTATGCACGATAAGCTCAGACCATGCTGTTGAAACCTATTCCGGTTTGGGTCCTAACCGTTTTTCGGTTGAACGGAAGTTGCATCGAGCCCTGTGATGAAAAGTTGTTTACATTTTCTAATAGTCTTTTGCCATCCTGTTTTGTTCAATTAATAGGTTGTAAATATTTACTCTTGTATTAATTCTAATATTTTGCTTCAAATAACATGACATTGCATTGTCTATTATTTGTGTTTTGTAAGGATATGATAGAATAGTAGCGACCGGCAGCTATTTTTAAATATTATTTTCTTCTTTAGAAGCTTGCTATTTTCCGAAAGCTGTACATCTTAGTATTGTAACAACACCAAGTTTATGAAAATCGGAGCAGAATTGACTGAGTTACTGCCCATTTAGTAACGCGAACTGGCAGACCCCTTGTTCGCGAAATTGGCCATTTTGCTTCAATTTTCAACCCCACTTCATATCTCAGACACCAAAAGTCCTAGAGACATAAGTATTTCACCAAAATAAAGCTGATTTACGCACCAACGCAATCATCCAAACCCATTACACCATAGATAATACCGTATTATCTATGATTACACATAGGTTGAGAAGTTTATTTTCTAATGTTTGCAATAACAGTACAGAAGATTAAATAATTACGTAAACTTGAACTAGCTACAAGCAGCTATTTTTTAATATTAATTTGTTGTCTATAACACTGTTATTTTCCCAAAACTGCATATCTCAGCATTGTAACAACACCAATTTTTTAAAAATCGGAGCAGAATTGATGGAGTTACTGTCCGTTTAGTAACGCCAACTGGCAGACCCCCTTTTCGCAAAATCGGCCATTTTGCTTCAATTTTCAATCCCACTCCATATCTGAGAAACGAAAAGAGCTAGAGACATAATTATTTAACCAAAATGAAGCTTATTTATGTATCAACACAGTCATACAAGCACATGACACATATCTTGAATAGTTTATTTTCTGAGGTTTGAAACACCGGTACAGAAAATTAAATAGTAACTTTAACTAAACATAATAATAATCAATAATGATACAATACAATCAAAATATTTAAAAACAAAACTTCGTAGTAGAGTATTCAAAACAGAATAAGAATAAACTAAGAATAAAAATAAAATGAAAATATTACCCGTCGGTCCGGCGTCCACAATTGCTTGTGAGCGCTCTAGAGGCTAAAGTTAATATCTGATTGACTTTAAATTTATACACAGTGTTTAAGGTCTTGGAACGAAGAAGCCTATTGATTTTCAGCGATTTCCGATAATTACTGCCAGAGTTATGGCCCTTGATCACTTTGAAAAATCTTGTGGACGCTCTAGAGGCCAAAGTTAATATCCAATTGACCTTAAATTTATACACAGTGTTTGAGCTCATGAGACGCAGAAGCCTATTGATTTTCAAAGATTTCCGATAATTACTGCCAGAGTTATGGCCCTTGATCACTTCAAAAAATCTTGTGGACGCTCTAAAGGCCAAAGTTAATATCCGATTGACTTTAAATTTATACACAGTGTTTAAGGTCATGAGACAAAGAGGCCTATTTATTTTCAGCGATTTCCGATAATTACTGCCAGAGTTATGGCCCTTGATCACTTAAAAAAATCTTGTGGAGGCTCTAAAAGCCAAAGTTAATATCCGATTGACTTCAAATTTATACACAATGTTTAAGGTCATGAGACGAAGAAACCTATTGATTTTCAACGATTTCCAATAATTACTGCCAGAGTTATGGCCCTTGATCACTTCAAAAAATCTTGTGGATGCTCTAGAGGCTAAAGTTAACATCCGATTGACATTAAATTTATACACAGTGTTTAAGGTCACAAGACGATTTCTGATAATTACTGCCAGAGTTATGGCCCTTGATCACTTCAAAAAATCTTGTGGATGCTCTAGAAGCGAAAGTTAATATTCGATTGACTTTAAATTTATACACAGTGTGTAAGGTCATGAGACGAAGATTCCTATTGATTTTCAACGATTTCTGATAATTACTGCCAAAGTTATGGCCCTTGATCACTTTGCAAAATCTTGTGATGCTCTAAAGGCTAAAGTTATAATCCGATTGACTTCAGATTAATAACACAGAGTTTAAGATCTTGAGACGAACAAGTATATTGATTTTCAATGAATTTTTATGACTTGAACAGTTAAATCCATGATATTAAAAGCTTTGCATACAAAACGTTAGCATGGGGCAGAACTTTATAAAAACCAAACAAATTCTAATAGTTTTCTGATAATTACTTTGTGAGTTGTTGCTCTTAATCAGATTTTAGTGTATTATAAATGTTTCATTACCGAAAAAAGTAAAAATATGCGACAACCCTTGTTGACTGCCCAGACGATTAAGTTGCTGTGGGCGTATGTTTCGTTGCCTGTTAAACTATCTTTATACTTTCGATGGCCTACACAAGTTATAGTGGGAGTTCACGTTCTAAGACGTCGGGTACCAAGCAAGCGACATTTGACCCGATTATGTCAGTCATTCGATTAACCAATTGGCGCGACCGCCATGTATTTTTTATCTACTTTTGCTTTGTTTTGATTTCTATTGCCGCTAACGTCTACCCACAGTTCCACGCAAAAAAAGGTCAAACGTTCGATTCGACAGATCATTTGATTGGCTGCCCCCTCATTTCAAGCAGGACACAAGTTAAATAACAACGCTTCCAGATCCAAGTGTAGTAAAGACAAGTAAAACCGAAATTTTGAACTATAAAAACGAAATGAAATTGGATCTGTGTTTTAATCAGATTCCATTATGGTCTGATATCCTTGAGGTATAACTACATGCTGTAGTGTATATTAAAAATCTTTTTACTTTATTTATGCGTAGTTAATATGTATGTTATTGTCTGTGAGATTTGGTATGCATAAATAGGTTTATTTTATTAGCCATTAAAATGTTAATGCACACCTTATGATTTATTTCATGATACAGTCTGACAGATTTTAAAATTAAAACAATAAAAGTCACGTTAAGATATCGACTTTTCATTCTACCTCGAGGTACTAATTTTATACTATAACCAGGATGTCCTGGGTTAGAGAAAGTTCCTCAGGATTTATGGCTTGGTTCTACTTGTTAGCGATGCAGGTCCATTGACAGTTTTGTTTTTGTGCTTTGTGTTGTATCTTTATAATTAAATTTCATATTTCCATTTGTCTACGATTGTCTTGTTGCCAACAAACAAATCCAACTCTGTCTTTGACACAGTTCTCATAAAGTTGAGGTACTGATCTTTATTTGGGAATTTATTTTTAATTTATTTTGGCTTCAGACAGCTTTAAAACAGGCCTATCAATAAATGTTCATGGACAACAACATGGCGGCAGGTTTAATTCCATATATTTATATAAACAGAAATGAACCATTTTAGAGATTACAATTTCACAATTTGATAACATTTATAAAGGAGTGTTAAAGGGGACGAAGGAGTGTTAAAGGGGACGAATGGTTAACGTGTGTGCGTAGTATGATAAGGTCTGTCTTTGAGTCAACTGGCGTGGTTTCGATCCCCAGGTTGTACGTGACAAGGAGTAGGGTCGTCTGTCCAACCTCGTGGGTTATCTCCTGTGTTAGTCTCAAAATGACCTAGTTTATGTCAAGTGGACATTAAACCCTATTTCCTTCATATTTTGAGTTATTTATATAAATTTTGTATTTCAGTATTTGTGGTATACAGCATATACAGAGAGGTAGCGAGGAGAAATCATTGACCATGTTTGAATCCATGTATTTTGTTGTTGTTACGTTTAGTACCGTGGGATACGGAGATATATCACCCGATATTTGGCTTGGACAGCTTTTCATGTTTGTCATGATTATAGTAGCATTCACTTTTATACCGAGACAGGTGAGTTTCATCTACCTGTTTTATACCGAGACAGGTGAGATTCATCTACCTGTTACATACCAAGACAGGTGAGATTCATCTACCTGTTACATACCGAGACAGGTGAGATTCATCTACCTGTTATGAAGTCTTGGTTCATGATCATCATTTTTATGCGTAAAGAATCTTGAAAATATTTTTGATGATCTGAATAATGTTAGAAATTGTCACATTCTTTGAACAAGACATCTTGGTAATGTAGGGTTTTGAAAATACATCAAATATTGAATCTCTAGAAACATTTTGAAAATGTCGTGCATTTAAAATAATAATAGAAACAAAAAAATATCACAAATCAGTTACGGAAAAAATGAGAGGCATCAGAAGAATTATGCCCGACATTAGAAGTTCTAGGGTGAAACAGTGGCTTAGTGGGTAAGGTGCTGGCTCGCTAACCTGGAGGTCACATGTTCGATCCGTGCATTGTTCGAGGAAACAATGGCTTAGTGGGTAAGGTGCTGGCTCGCTAACCTGGAGGTCACATGTTCGATCCCTGCATTGTTCCAGGAAGTAAGTGATTTCCCCCTTGTCAGGGGTGGAGGACAGAGGGCCTGACAAAGGACAACGTTAGTGACAAAAAAACGAGGTCCTGTGTACACATTGGCATGTACGTAAAAGATCCCTTGGCAGTTGGAATATAAGAGTATGTGTATGCCCGTCTTCATTAGCCCAGGTTAGGAGCAGAACAGTAGGACTTTAAACCCCATTTCATTTCATTATTTCGAGGGTGGGTTCCTTTGTCTTCCTGATCACTTCTTTTACCTGTATGTTAGTCCTGTACTGAACTGACCTAGTTTGTGCTAAGATTAATGTTAAGCCCCCTCTCTCTCTCTCTCTCTCTCTCTCTCTCTCTCTGCAGTAATATTATTTCATGACTTTTTTTTGCAGCTAGAAGAAATCGCGTCAACATGGATACAACAGAAGAAATCTGGTGGAGAATATAAGAAAGGAGAATCAAGTCGTTATCGCCATGTTGTCGTCTGTCTTAAATCACCCAATACAGAAGTTGTTATGAACTTTTTAAATGAATTTTATGCCCATCCAAAACTTGAGGTAATTTGTTATAGTAATACGATTTGCATGAAAAAACTTACGTGAAATAAGTTAGATTGCTAGACACTTAGAACATTTCTTTTGACCAAACTAAAACTTGGAAGTTTTACCCTAAACTACCTGATTTTGCACAAGACTTCCTGATTTTCTACAAAACTTCCTGATTTGGCACAAAACTTCCTGATTTTCTACAAAACTTCCTGATTTGGCACAAAACGTCCTGATTTGGCACAAAACTTCCTGATATCACCCATAATTTATAGAACATATATATCCAGGGACGCCTAGATTGTTCTGCCTTGTGGTGTTATGAGTTTAAATAGTTTGTACTGGCTCCGTCATGGGGAATTCCCTTTGGCTAACTGGGAATTCCATGCCTTGGATCATGGGACAGATTCCCAACAGGAACATCATGTCACACATTAAGACACCTAACGTGGGGTCAAACAGCTTTGCAGACATGGGAGGGCTTATTGTTTCTAAAACAACTCTGAGGAGCATCTCGAGGGTAGAATGTAGCAGTGATGTAAATATGTGGTTTACTGTGTCATTGTTTATATATCTAGGTACGTCTAGATTCTTCTGTCCTGTTATAGTGTCTCGAGTTTAAATATATTTACTAATGACTGGGGCATCTTGTAACATTTCAAAAAACAATTTAATAAGCAAAACCTTGAAGTATTTCACATTTGTGTTGAAACAAAGAGTAAATCTTGTTTACGTTATCAGCCTTCTAAGAAACAACTGGCCTGGTGAATATCGAGCTGGCTCGGCTCACTAACCAGATGGTGCTGGGTTTCATCTAAATGTTGACTGAGAAGGGTTCTTGGGATTTGTCCAGCTGAGTTTCCCGCCTAGCAAGGAAAACCGTCTAGTTGTTCGTATGATATGGAAACTGAGGTCCCATATATATACCACTAACAGCACGTTAAAGATCCCCTAAAATTTGGAAATTAAAATAAGGGTAGACCATAGTTTTCCCTCATAGCATACTTCATAGTATATACACGTCTTAATGAGCTTGGTTAGTGCCAGGGGCATTGGATGACCGAAAGGTTAAACCGTGTTCGTTTGATCATAAGGTCTGTCATTGGGACAAGTGGCATGGTTTCGACTCCCTGCTTCCATGTGGCAAGGAATAGAGTTGCTTGTCCAACCGCGTGGTTTTCTTCCGGGTCCTCCAGTTTCCTCCCACTGCTAAAGATCCCTATGCGCCAGGCCTGGAAATAACGGTTGTAGATATACCTGACAAAATGTCAGGCACCAATGAAATACTAACGGACATTTTCAACTTAGTGCTAGACATGTATTAATAATATCAATAAAAAAGACAAATCGCGGACAAAATGACAGGCACCAGAGGTTTAGTGCCAGATAATGTCTGTGACAGGTGCCTTATTTCCAGGCTTGCTATGCGCTAACAAATTATTGAAATGAAATAAAATCAACCATACAGTATGTTGGTCCTAAAATGACCTAGTTTGTGTCGAGTGGATGTTAAACCCCATTCATCTCTATCTATTATTTCAGGAACACTCAGTTGTACTGGTCAGTACAAAGGAACTAGAAAATGATATGCAGATGATATAAAAGATCCAAAATGGGCGAATCGTGTATTTTATATCCGAGGGTCTGCCTTAAAGGATGTGGATCTGAAAAGATGTCGAATAAACTCAGCAGATGCCTGCTTCTTTTTGGCACCAAAAAATGCGAGGGACAGAAACAAAGCAGTAAGTTGTAGATTTTCAATTGGTTGTTTTGATGAAACGTTAAAATCATATTTGACATTTGACCCCCTTAAACATACATTATGCAAGAGTTAAATCTGCCTATTGTAGGTCTTTCTTTAGGCCTGACATGTTATATAACCTATTAATTAGACATTAATTAACATGAAAAGACCTTAATCAACTCTCGATGGCATCTTGTCAGATTTTCTCTGGATTGGAATCCGATTTGCTGCTCAACGCTTATTAATTATTTAATCCAAAAAAGGATAATCGAGACTATGTTTTTTATTGTACCGACTTTAGTAGTGATGACCGAGGCTAGGACTAAAATTCAAACGCTAATATCTCGGTTCAGAGTGGAGCAATCCGACTGATATTTTCAGCATATTCCCTTCACATTATCTAGTTTTTAACAATTGTAGTGCGAACTGCCAGCTGTTTATAATGCCCCTTTAATTTGAGTGAAAAATAAAATGGTTGATCTGTCTTTGTTGAAAAATTTTTGTTGAGATTTAACCAATTTTACACTGGATTGTCAAAACATTATAGCCTCAAATTTTCTACTTTATCAAACTCTAAGATCATATTTAATAGTGCCAAGCTCAAAACGTTTGTCAGAATTATTTTGTTGATTAATTATTTTTGGTCAATTAATTATTCACTTCATATTTTATTAGGATCAACACACTATTCTCAGATCATGGGCTGTGAAAGATTTTGCTCCAAAATGTCGACAGTATCTTCAACTATTTAAAGCTGAGAATAAAATGCATGTGAAGTTTGCTGAGCATGTGGTTTGTGAAGATGAGTTTAAATATGCTCTATTAGCTAACAACTGTTTATATCCTGGTCTATCTACCCTAGTTACGTTATTACTACATACCTCCAGAGGCAGGTAATTACACTTTTATTATTATAATTACACTTTTATTATTATAATTACACTTTTATTATTGCAATTACACTGCCTGTGTTGTAATTACACTTTTATTATTACAATTACACTGTTTTATTACAATTACACTTTCATTAATGTAATTACACATGTATTATTATGATTAAAAATTTATAATTATAATTACACTCTTACTGTTGGAATTACACTTTTAATTACACTTTAATTATTGTAAATTACACTTTGATTATTATAATTACACTTTAATTATTATAATTACACTTATTATTACAATTACACTTTTATTATTTAAAATTACACTTTTATTATTTAAATTACACTTTTATTATTTAAATTACACTTTTATTATTTCAATTACCCTTTTATTATTTAAATCACACTTTTATTATTATCATACTTTTAGTGTTGTAATTACACTTTTATTATTACCTGTCTATTGTTGAAATTACACTGTTATTATTACAATTACTCTAATATTATTGTAATTACACAATTTTCTACTCTGTTATTTTGTTATAGAGAAGGTGAGTTGGCTAATGAACCATGGCAACAAGTTTATGGTCGTCATTCTGGAATGGAGGTTTATCATATACAGCTGTGTAAAAGTTCTTTCTTTAGAATCTACGAGGGTAAAAAATTCACAGAAGCTTCTGTAGATGCCCATCAAAGGTAGGAACTGAAACATCAAATATTGGCTCATTTTTTGTATTTTACATGATTCAACAAATTCATACACAGTTGGTCATTGAGTCAACAGGCGTGGTTCTGAATCCTCGGTTGTACGTGACAAGGAGTAGGGTCGCTTGTCCAACCTCGTGGGTTTTCTCCAGGCCCTCTGGTTTCCTCCCAATGCTAAAGACCCCGACGCGCAAGCAAATTATTGAAATAAAATTAAAACCATATGTTAGTCCCGAAATGACCTAGTTTATCTCTCTGCCATACAACAGTTGAATGCAACGTATTGGAAAGGTGTTTACAGGTTACACGATACAATTATTCTATGGGTTTTATGGCAAATTGATGTCAAGCGCATATGCTTATGCTGCGTCATTGTTCGTTCTTAGTAACTGAATAAAAGTTGTACACTTTAGATCACAAGGTCTGTCCTAGAGTCAAATGGCGTGGTTTCCATCCCACACTTGTACGTGACAAGGAGCAGGGTCGCCTGTCCAATTTCCGGATTTCTCTAGCTGCTAAAGACCCATACGTGCAAGCCAATTAGTGAAATAAAATAGAATCATATGTTAGTCACGAAATAACCTGGTTTGTGTTGAGTTTCTAATCCCATCTCTCTTTTTATAGATATGGTGTATGCTTAGTGGCTGTTTTAGATGTCAACAAATCGGAACCACGCCTACAGTTAAATCCGGGCGCCGATCATGTCCTGAAAGGGTCAGACTTCTGCTTTTATCTGGGAATGACTCGTGAGGAATATTCCAAAATAACTGGCAGTCCTGAAGAGACATCTGTTGATTCGGTCAGAACTAAAAATATTGGTAGGTTAATATGTTTTATCATACATGACTAATGGTGTTTTAGCACAATGTAAGAGTAAATATGTTTTATCATACATATGGCTAATCGTGTTTTAGCACAACGTAAGAAATGTCAAAGCTGCCAAACTGACAATATTTATGAAATATTGCTACGGCCTACTTGTATTTTGATCTCTGCTTTATAGTATACACAGAACCTTAATTGGTTTTTGACCCTCCATCCTGCACAAACTGACAAAGGGAAACAACTCTGGACATATCCTGAGGAATGTTCTCAGCAAACACAGGAATCTCTGATTATAATCTTTGAGTGGCATTTAAGCATCGGTAAACACATTAACAGAACACAGTTTTTATACGCCCACATTTTCATGAGGATGTATATTGTCGTCGCCCCTGTCCGTCCGTCCGTCCGTCCGTCCGTCCGTACGTCCACAATTTGTTTGTGGACTCTCTACAGGTCACAATTCTTGTCCGATTTTGACGAAACTTGAAATATAGGTTTATCCCCAAAAGATCTTGGCTGCTTCCGATATTGGCATGTATCGGATCGAAACTTCATGGATTATGGCCCCTGTTTGTACGAAAAATCACGTTTTTAGCTTGTGGACCCTATAGAGGTCACAATTTTTATCCGATTGATTTTGTTGAAACTTGAAATGTAGGTTTATAACCCAAAGATCTCAGTTCCTTTCGATATTCGCGCATATCGGACCGTAACTTCCTGAATTATGGCCCCTGATTGTACGAAAAATCGTGTTTTTAGCTTGTGGACCCTAGAGAGGTCATAATTTTTATCCGATTTAAAAAACCGTATTAATATGTAAGTTTATTACACAAAGATCTCAGTTCCTTTCGATATTCGCGCATATCGGACCGTAACTTTCTGAATTATGGCCCCTGATTGTACGAAACCCAAAGATCTCAGTTCCTTTCGATATTCGCGCATATCGGACCGTAACTTCCTGAATTATGGCCCCTGATTGTACGAAAAATCGTGTTTTTAGCTTGTGGACCCTATAGAGGTCATAATTTTTATCCGATTTAAAAAACCGTATTAATATGTAAGTTTATTACACAAAGATCTCAGTTCCTTTCGATATTCGCGCATATCGGACCGTAACTTTCTGAATTATGGCCCCTGATTGTACGAAAAATCACGTTTTTAGCTTGTGGACTCTATAGAGGTCATAATTTTTATCCGATTTAAAAAAACGTATTATTATATCACCGTTGCACCCTAAGGATGACTGAGTTCGAATTTCGTGAAAATCGGTCCAAAATTGCCAGACAAAATGGCCGCCGTTCGTTCTCAAATAGCGTAAAAATATGGTATATCAAGGTTGTGGACCCTATAGAGGTCACAATTTTTATCCGATTTTGTTGAAACTTGAAATGTTTACAAGTTTATAACCCAAAGATCTTAGTTTTTTTCGATATTCGCGCATATTGAATTTTAATTTCCTGAATTATGGCCCTTGATTGTACAAAAAATCACGTTTTTAGCTTGTGGGCCCTATAGAGGTCATAATTTTTATCCGATTTAAAAAATCGTATTATTATATCACCGTTGCACCCCAAGGACGACTGAGTTTGAATTTCGTGAAAATCGGCCCAAAACTGACCGACAGAATGGCCGCCCTTCGTTCTCAAATAGCGTAAAAATATGGTATATCAAGGTTGTGGACCCTATAGAGGTCACAATTTTTATCCGATTTTGTTGAAACTTGAAATGGAAGTTTATAACACAAAGATCTCGGTTCCTTTCGATATTTGCGCATATCGGACCTTAACTTCCTGAATTATGGCCCCTGATTTTACGAAAAATCGCGTTTTTAGCTTGTGAACCCTATAGAGGTCATAATTTTTATCCGATTTTGTTGAAACTTGAACTGTAAGTTTATAACCCAAAGATCTCGGTTCCTTTCTATATTCGCGCATATCTGACCCTAACTTCCTGAATTATGGCCCCTGATTGTACGAAAAATCGTGTTTTTAGCTTGTGGACCCTATAGAGTTCATAATTTTTATCCAATTTAAAAAAAATGTATTATTATTACACCAGTACACCCTAAGGACAGCTGAGTTCGAATTTTGTGAAAATCTGCCCAAAACTGACAGACAAAATGGCTGCCCTTCATTCTCAAATAGCGTAAAAATATGGTATATCAAGGTTGTGGACCCTATAGAGGTCACAATTTTTATCCGATTTTGTTGAAACTTGAAATGTAAGTTTATAACCCAAAGATCTAGGTTTTTTTCGATATTCGCGCATATTGAATTTTAATTTCCTGAATTATGGCCCTTGATTGTAGGAAAAATCACTTTCTTCTTAGCTTGTTCTCTATCCATCTCTCGAAAATGTGGGCGTATCCTGCCTGGCAGCCGCTGGTTATGGGATACAATCACTAGTTTTCTTCTAAAAGCACCATGTTAATCTCCTGATTAGTGAGCCAGTGTCATGCTCATTCACTTACCGACACCATGACTCCCTTTAAATCAAAGATAAGGTTATATTATTGAAATCTGAGTTTATATTTTTGAAATTTGGCTTTATATTATTAAAACTTGAGTTTATATTATTAAAACTTGAGTTTATATTAAAACTTGAGTTTATATTAAAACTTGAGTTTATATTAAAACTTGAGTTTATATTAAAACTTGAGAGAAAGAGAGAGAGAAATGGGGTTTAACGTCCACTCGACACAAACTAGGTCATTTCGGGACTAACATATGGTTTAATTTTATTTCAATAATTCGCTTGCGCGTAGGGGTCTTTAGCAGTGGGAGGAAACCGGAGGACCCGGAGAAAACCCACGAGGTTGGACAGGCGACCCTACTCCTTGTCACGTACAATCGGGGATTCTAAACCACGCCAGTCGACTCAATGACAGACTTTATGATACAGCGCGCGCACGCTAACCATTCAGCCATCCAACCCACCCATTAAAACTTGAAATGCTATTACCAGATATTGAGACTTGAGTTTATGTTATTGAAACTTGGGTTTATATTATCAAAAATTGAGTTTATTTTATCAAAAATTGAGTTTATATTAGTTTATATTATCTAAAATTGAGTTTATATTAGTTTATATACTATTCAAAAAAAGTAGGGGATATTTGATTTTGGGGGCATAATACTAAAATATGCAAATGACTACGAAAAAAGTCACTATAGAACCTAACAGAAGAAACATTTCCAGTTACATGTGACGCCCAAACGCACCAATAGCTACCGCATGGAATGCAGGTGATGCTTGGGATCATCATGGGGGTCCAACCCAAGATTTGCACGACTCTGACTTTGAATGTTACAGTCATTGTGGCATTGAATTCCAGGGTGGAAACATCAGTTTAATTGTTTTAGTGACCAGAAAACAAATTTTGATATGCGTCGGCTTACCCAAAATGAAAGGTTACATGCCCTTGGCATGCTACAGATCGGCACAACACAGGCGGTTGTGGCGCGGACGATGAATGTTTCTCAGTCTGTCATAAGCAGGCTATGGTCCAGATACCGTGATACACAATCTGTACAGGACAGACCACGCTCAGGTCGACCAAGGGCGACAACTCAAGCCCAGGATCGATTTATCCATACCTTTGCCTTGAGAAATCGTGTCATCACAGCAAATCAGATCAGCGCTCGTCTTCAAACCGACACTGGTGTGAGAGTGAGTGGCCAGACGATTCGGAATCGACTGCATAGGGGTCACCTTCGAGCCCGACGTCCTCGCGTGATCCCTTGTTTGAGAGATCATCTCATTCAGGCAAGACGTCGTTGGTGTAGGGATCGTCAACACTGGGATAATCGACGCTGGAGCAATGTGATGTTTTCAGATGAGTCAAGGTTCACTGTTGATTTTTTGGACAGACGTAGGAGGGTGTGGCGTCGTCGAAATGAGCGCTTCCAAGACGTTAACGTCATCAGACATGATCGATTTGGAGGTGGTTCTGTTATGGTGTGGGGAGGCATCACTGTTGCTGGAAGAACGGCTTTACATGTTGTTGCAGGGCGTGTTACAGGCCAGTACTACCGGGACAACATCTTGGCAGTCCATGTTGTGCCGTTCGCACGACGTCATGGCCGGCGTTTCATCTTCCAGGATGACAACGCAAGATTTCACAGGGCCAGGATCGTTACAGGTTACCTCCAACAACAGAACATCACCACATTACCTTGGCCAGCACTGAGTCCCGACCTCTCCCCCATCGAGCATGTCTGGGACATGCTTGGACAGAGGTTACGTCAACGTCAACAACGTCCTGCCAATGTCCAAGAACTTGCTGCTGCATTGCAACAGGAATGGGACAATCTGGACCAAAATGACCTTAGACGTCTCATTAGGAGTATGCCACGTCGGATCAATGCTTGTTTGGCAAACAGAGGAGGATTTACCCGTTACTGACTTGGTTGTGATGCTGTGGTAACTTTGCTGTTTGACCCCGGGTATCATTTTACCCTTATAATGGTCAGTCTGTGCCTTACTTAGTCTAACGATCATTTGGAATAAATCGATGAATGTGAACTTCATTTCATTTTGTCATTTGTTTCTTCGTCAGTTTCATTAGGTGACTTTAATAACACTTAAAAATCAAATATCCCCTACTTTTTTTGAATAGTATATTATCAAAAATTCAGTTTATATTATTAAGACTTGAATTTATATTATTGAAACTTGAGTTTATATTATTGAAACTTGAGTTTAAATTATTGAAACTTGAGTTTAAATTATTGAAACTTGAGTTTAAATTATTGAAACTTGAGTTTAAATTATTGAAACTTGAGTTTAAATTATTGAAACTTGAGTTTATATTATTGTAACTTGAATTTATAATATCGATGTTTGAGTTTATATTATTTGTTTGATTTATCTGATAGAATTGATTGCGTCTGAGATACAGAAATGGTTACAGAGTGAAGATGATGCTGATTGTGACGATGAAGAAAGTGTATTTAGTACAATAACAAGTCAACTTGGTAAAACAATATCAGCTAGATTACATAACGAAAGCCAGGATGGTTAGTACCAATATATATATACAGGATTACGCTCTTTGGTCCGCTTTCACCTCATTGTCCGGAAATTTAATCATAACCTAATAGAAGTGCCATACACAAGGGTAGACATAAGGCCCCCATCACAGACTTTATTAGTATAAATTATCTAACCAACCTAGACATAAAGCATCTGTCACCACCTATCACACACAAATTATAATACACTGGACATCGTACAGGGTGGATACAATATGCCTGATTACACAGCATGTTGGAATACTCAATTGTCTCAATACTGGAAGTATTATACCAGAAGGGGGGGACGGGTGTGGATGGCTGAATGGTTAGCATAAAGCCTGTCATTGAGTCAACTGGTGTGGTTTCGAATCCCCGGTTGTACGTGGAAAGGAGAAGGGTCGCCTGTCCAGCCTCGTGGGTTTTCTCCGGGTCCTCCGGTTTGCTCACACTGCTAAAGACCCCTATGCGCAAGCGAATTATTGAAATAAAAATAAACCATATGTTAGTCCCAAAATGACCCAGTTTGTGTCGAGTGGACGTTTAACCCCATCTCTCTCTCCCCCTCTCTCTCTCTCTCTATCTATCTCTCTCTCTCGAATACCGAGAACTTAAAATAGGATGAATTTAACTGTCAGTCAGGTACGACGGCAAATATATCTGAAACAAGAACTCTAGTACAACATTTTATCCTGGGGGTTGAATCTACTTGATTTCTATTCCCTCACAATCATGAACAAGAGAGAGAGAGAAACGAGGTTTAACGTCCACTTGACACAAACCAATTTTATTTCAACAATTTGCTTGCGCGAATGGGTCTTTAGCAGTGGGAGGAAACCTGACGACCCGGAGAAAACCCACGAGGTTGGATAGGTGACCCTACTCCTTGTCATGTACAACCGGGGAATCGAAACCACGCCAGCTGACTCAATGCCAGACTTCATGATGCAATGCACTAACCATTGAGCCATCCACCTCCACCCCCACTTCCAGTCATAAACAATGATTTTCAAATAACGAAAAGAACTGGGGACCATAGTTCTTACTACAGCATATTGATAGTAACGGGGAAAACCTGGTGTTTTGAAAACGATACTCAGACTCTTAAAGGCTCAATACCACTCTTGTTGTAACAGAATAATATGTCCCACTCTTTATTCTAGTCAACAAATTGTACTATTTTACAATATTCCAATTAACTGGTGATACAAATTTCATCTTAAAACACCTAATTTAAAAAATTGGAAAATTTCAACTAATGATTTGAAAAGCCTGAAGTAAAGCTTTTCAAATGTGACTTGGATTTAAAAATATTTTCGATTCCTCTGGACAAGTGAAATAGTATGTAATGGATAATTTACACAACAGGTAGGACACTTAAACATCTAATACTTAGAATAAGGCTATTTCTTATTTTCTGGACCTGTCAAGCCAGCAAGAGTGTTGTTGTCCCTTTAAATGGCTGTATTGAAAAACCCGGTGATTTGAAAACGATAATCAGACTCTTAAATGGCCCTATTGAAAATTCTATTGTTCTTTCTGTGAATCAGTGTCAACACCACTCCTGAAGATGAAAAACGATAAAGATCTCGGCAAGAATCTAGATCCAGTTACAGCTGAAAAAGGAACGGAAACACTGGAACGATTTCCGCAACAAGAATCTGGGAAAATTCTGCAGTATTACGATGATATGGGACAGGAAAGGTGAGCTTTAGTAACAACTGTTGGTTTATACACTGATTCAAAAACTGATTTGTTTAGTTAATGTTTCTTGTTTTTAGCGTTGAAATCCTGCAAATTAGTAACCACACACTACCAAACACAAAAACATGAGGGGGCGGGATGTGGGGGCTGTCCGAATGGTTAATGAATGCTTGTTAGATCAGAAGGTCTGTTATTGAGTCAAGTGGTGCGGTTTCGATGACAAGGAGTAGGGTATCACCTGTCCAACGGTTTCCTCCCACTGCTAAAGACCCCTACGCACAAGTGAATTATTGAAATAAAAATTGAACCATATGTTAGTCCCGAAATGACCTAGTTTGAGTCAAGTAAACGTTACGATCCATTTCTCCCTTAAGCAATAAAATGAAAGAAAAATCACATGATCTCAAAATTGTGGCAAACATTAAATTTAAGAAGATTGGCCTAGTTTTTTTAATTTAATAGAAGTAGGTCTGTCTTCATTTTGAATGTCGGGGTTGGGGGGTGGCTTGGATGGCTGAATGGTAAGCACGTGCGCGCTGTATCATAAAGTCTGTCATTGAGTCAACTGGCATGGTTTCGATTCCCCGGTTGTACGTGACAAGCAGTAGGCTCGTCTGTCCAATCTCGTGGGTTTTCTCCGGGTCCTCCGGTTTCCTCCCACTGCTAAAGACTCCTATGTGTAAGCGAATTATGGAAATAAAATTGAACCATATGTTAGTCCCGAAATGACCTAGTTTGTGTCAAGTGGATGTTAAACCCCATTGAAAACTCACAAGGTTGGACAGGTGATACCCTACTCCTTGTCATGTACAAGCGGGGAATCAAACCCACGCCATTTGACTCATTGATAGACCCTATAAACTAAAATTGAAAAGAAGAGTATGGGGTTGACCTAAACAGAACATTGTATTTGATGAATTTTGTGGATTATCAACTTATACATGATCCATTGTACCAGTATGTGTAACCGGTAGATCGAAGGGGGATAACTCTACTTATTTAAATTTCTATCAATGAAATATATTTTGATTTTGTTACAGTTTTATAACAGGACCACCTCCAAGTACATTATACGTGGGAACTAGACGAACTATATGTTATCTTCATAAAGAGGCTCGACCATTATGTTGTACACAATGGGGACAGGTACGTTCTATGGCATATCTTTTAACAGTTACAAATACTAAACAATTACTTACACAATAGGCCTATTTATTTATTTATTTTTTATTTATTTATCTATTTAAAGATATTTATCTTTTTACAATATTTATTTATTTATTGATTTATTTATATTTATCTATTTACGATATTTATTTTTTATTTATTCATTTTTTATTTAACAATATTTTTCTATTAACGATATTTATTTTTTATTTATTTATTATTTAACGATATTTATCTATTTACGATATTTAATTATTTTAGGCGTGTGAACATTGTTTATTTTATGTTTATTTTAGGCATGTGAACATTGTTTATTTAAAACAGCTAAAGATGATCGGTGGGATCAACAGTTGATTATTCTGGTAGCAGGATATGGTAGTACAGGAATTTATAATTTTATCGTACCATTACGATCAGATTATCTTAGCGTTAATAACCTCAGTCCTATTATTCTTCTACTTGAACAAGAGTAAGTCAGACATTATTTCTATCAAATAAAACAATTTTGATCAAGTGTAAGTTTGTCATTATTTCTATCAAATAAACCAAACAGCACCACAATATTGAAATGGAGTCAGTGTGTCCTTTCCTGTAATATTTCTGAAGTATATCTCGTTAACCACTCAAGAGGAATCTTTGTACACACATAAACTTATCGTGAATTTATGCTAATCAGAAATTTCTCCTTTCAATAGTTTTTGTGTTCCACAGAAACAAATCAGACTTTTTCCAAGGCAGATATAATGGGATGGTCAACCCTATTTGCTGCTCATCTTGTACATTAATAGTATTCGTGTACCTTTCAAAACATGTACAATAACATTATCTATCCCTGTACCGTCTAAAACATTTCTAATGGTGTGTGTGTGGGATCGCTGATCGATGATTGAGTTTGCTTGTTTATAAAAGTGGTTGGTTGGTCGATTGGTTTAACCTGTGTGTTTTAGGTCATAAGCTCTGTCACTGAGTCTGTTAAGCCAAGGCTTGTACGTGACCAGTAATATGGTCACTTATCTAACCTTGTGGATTAACACCCTGTAAGCTGTCAGAATTGAACATCCATTGACCATGTGGTCAAAGGTTACAGTTTCTAACTGTTGTGAAATTCTCTGACCTATTTTTGTAAAGGTATTAAATTAATAGTTTTGGGTATTTTTACTGTTGTAAAGGTTTTAGATTATAAGTATCGGATATTTTTATTTTTTCAGGCCGGATGTAATGTTTATTGAAACTATCGCACATTTCCCATTGGTTTATTGGATGCAGGGGAAAATGACGAAGTAAGGTTTTTATTTCTACATACAAAGTTCCTGTCTGCGCTCCTTTTCTCAAATTGAACTTTTCATCCCATAAATGCCCAGATGTAATCTTTACAGTTGGGTGATCCAACACACACGCTTTAGATCATAAGTTCTGTCATTGAGTCGGGGGATCACGTGGCTAAGTGGGTAAGACGCCGGCTCGCTAGCCTGGAGGTCAGGTGTTCGATCCCTGCATTGGCCGAGAAAGTTCATCCAGATTTTCAGGCGCGGTTTCCCCTTGTCAGTGATGCAGGACGGAGGGCCTGACACGGACAGCTGTCTAGTCGTTCAGATGGTACGAAAAACCAAGGTCCCGTGTGTACACATTGGCGTGCACGTAAAAGATCCCTTGACAGTTGGAATTCGATAAAAGAGTAGGATATAGTGCTGCTGCATGGGCAAAATTTTCCTCATATCACACATTGTATGGCGTATGCCCGTCTTCATTAGCCGAGTCAGAGCAGACCAGTAGGACGTTAAACCCCATTTCATTTCATTGAGTCAAGTGGTTTAACCATTTCTGTCTCTTGCCCTTGATTGAAGTTAAAGACAACAGATTATTTACCCTCTTTGTATCATATTTCACGACTTTACGAACCATGTTACCGTTGTTTTACAGTATTGATGATTTATTAGTGGCTGGTATAAACAAGGCTACACATCTGGTTGTTGCTAATAAGGAGAGTGATGCGGACGCCAATGAAGAGATTTTAACCGATGCAGAAACAGTTGTTACTGTTCAAAAAATAACAAAGTTAGTCGTAAAAAAAATTTATTACTGAAAATTAGGAACTATTGGCACCATAAAATTCTTTTTGAATTGCAAGTAGATTTTGTAATTATCAGTAATTTGTTGACCAACGTTTTGACCAATGCCATATTGGTTGAAATTGTGCTATTAGACTAGTTCGGTTACAGTTGAGGTTAGAAAACACTGAATGAAACATTGTACACAGAGAATCTAAGGAAGTTTAAACATGTTTTTACATAGTTTGAGGACACCTTTTTAGTTTTAGATTTATAAATTGTTTTTGTTAAATTGGTAAGAATGCCCCATGCTTAGGCTTCCTACTCAGTGTATACTCTTGAAAACATCATTTAAACTCAGTTTTTTAATAACTTCCTCACCTAAAGAAAGACTCCCCAAGATATGGGGCCCTTTTCAGTGCTCGGCTCTTGGGCGGTCCCTGATTTATTTGCCCTCAATTAACCTGTATGACAATTGCGTAAATCAGATGATAATTTTCCTAAGTTCTGGTGAATCATGTTCGTAATCGTCGTAGTTTTTATTGCCTGGCAAGCTATCTTTTTTGTGTTCTTTTTTTCAGTTTGTTTCCCTCCACAAATGTGATAACAGAATTAAATGATGCTACCAATATGAGATTTATGCAGTTTCAAGCCCACGATGCCTACTCACAGTCTATTTCTAAATTAGAAAAAGTGAGATTTTAATCATAATTTCAATCCTTTAGGCATATTTAAACCAATTTTATTACAAATAATTATTTTTATTACAATAATGATACCTTTTATTACAAATGATCTGAGTTGTGGAGGGGGGGGGGTGGATGGCCGATTGGTTAGCGCGTACATGCTCTATCATTAGGTCTGTTATTGAGTTGTATGTGTCCTACCTGTTGTGTAAATTATCCATTACATACTATTTTACTTGTCCAGAGGAATCGAAAATATTTTTAAATCCAAGTCACATTTGAAAAGCTTTACTTCAGGCTTTTCAAATCATTAGTTGAAATTTTCCAATTTTTTAAATTAGGTGTTTTAAGATGAAATTTGTATCACCAGTTAATTGGAATATTGTAAAATAGTACAATTTGTTGACTAGAATAAAGAGTGGGACATATTATTCTGTTACAACAAGAGTGGTATTGAGCCTTTAAGAGTCTGAGTATCGTTTTCAAAACACCAGGTTTCCCCGTTACTATCAATATGCTGTAGTAAGAACTATGGTCCCCAGTTCTTTTCGTTATTTGAAAATCATTGTTTATGACTGGAAGTGGGGGTGGAGGTGGATGGCTCAATGGTTAGTGCATTGCATCATGAAGTCTGGCATTGAGTCAGCTGGCGTGGTTTCGATTCCCCGGTTGTACATGACAAGGAGTAGGGTCGCCTGTCCAACCTCAAGGGTTTTCTCAGGGTCCTCCGGTTTTCTCCCTCTGCTAAAGACTCCTACGCACAAGCAAATTATTTAAATAAAATTAAACCATATGTTAGTCCTGAAATGACCTGGTTTCTCTCTCTCTCTCTCTCTCTCTGGGGGATTGGATGGCTGAATGGTTAGCACCTGCGTGTTGTATCATAAAGTTTCGAATTCCCGGTAGTACGTGACAAGGAGTAGGGTCGCCTGTCCAACTTCGTGGGTTTTCTCCGGGTCCTCCAGTTTCCTCCCACTGCTAAAGACCCCTACGCGCAAGCGAATTATGGAAATAAAATTGAACCATATGTTAGTCCCAAATTTACCTAGTTTGTGTTGAGTGGAAGTCAAACCCCATTTCTCTCTCTCTCTCCTCCGGTTTCCTCCCACTGCTAAAGACGTCTACGCGCAAGCGAATTATGGAAATAAAATTGAACCATATGTTAGTCCCAATTTTACCTACTTTGTGTCGAGTGGATGTCAAACCCCATTTCTCTCTCTCTGATTTGAGTTATCTCCCTTTTGTCTATAGTTGTTCCTAACGTTTATTATTTCAGAAATTAAAACAAGAGACCAACTCCAATTTACCACATCTATTCCGTCTACCGTTTGCCTCGGGTCAGGTATTTAGTGCTGGTATGTTAGACAGATTACTGTATCAGGTAAAATATTTTAAATTATAATTTCTTCATTTTATCTTTTAAAGTAAGTGCTGGAGGATGCCACTAAATGCTAGCAAAATGGAAAAGACAAACCCGAGGACAGGACAAACTGCAGGAGAACCGAACTAGAAGACTAAGACTAACTTGCGGACAAGAAAAAAACTAAACTAACATTGTAAGCTATAAACAAATATGAAATCAAGCTAATGGATCCAAGGTTAGCCGTAAGCATCCACTGTTCTGTACGTTATTAAGAGAGATGGTGTCTTGTTTGATAATGTCTTTAGTGTTCGCAGATACAAATAAAATTTACGTTTTAAAGCAGGGCTGGGGGTAATGATAATGGTAATGGAATGTCATCGTTACATTTTTTAAGTAATGGCCATGTAATGGAAGATTTCAAAAGTAATGAGTAATGGAAATGTAATTGATTAAATTCCAAAAATCATGTAATGGGCAATTACTTTTCAATTACATTTTATGGCACATATAAATGTTTCCAATATAACTAGCCTCAAATTTTATAGCATCAAAGAAGTAATTTAAGTCTATCGGACACAAATCCAATTCATATAATTTTAAAAAAAGGTTTGAATTAGTTTTAATGAATTATAATAGGAATAAGAAGGCATTAAACATTTTCTTTTATTACTTTTTTGTAATGTTCATGTAAGACCTTTATTTAGACATGTAACCTGAAAAGAGGATTTCTGAAAAGATGTATATTGTAATCAAAGATTAGTGCTAATTTGCAGGCAATCACATATAGTCAATCACATAGTCAATCAGTCAATCATTCTGTTTTAAAGTTCTACAAACCCTTGAAGACTGAATCATGAAATCAGTAGAAACTGACCAGAACTTGCATTTGGACTTGATTGAATTTTTTAATAGCTTAAATGCTGGGTGTCATACATGAGATTGTGTGAGCTGACTGTTTCTAGAACATCTGATACCACATGTTATAGTTAACAAACTTTCCTAGTACATGTTGTATCTTTGTAGAAAACTATAAATTGGATGAATTGGTCAACCCATGGCTGTAGAAGTTTAAATGGTGCTGAAATGAAATGAAATAGTGTTTCACATTCTATTTTTTTGCTCCAATTGGGCTAATGAAAAAGGAGGGTGCTAACTGGTTAGGTTAGGGTTGGGGTTAAAAAAACTGTGTGAACGAAACTTTGTAGCTTTGGAATAATGACATACAGTTAGGTTAGAGTTAGGGTTAGAAAACTCTGTGAATGAAACTTAGTAACTTTGGAATGACATACAGTTAGGGGCCAGATTTACCTACTTTTGGCGGCTAGGTCAAACTTAACAGTGGCCCCTAAGATACCTGTTGGTCCTAGGACAATGGCCTACTATTCTGTGATTCCTGGGACAATGGCCTACTATTCCGTGGTTCCTAGGACCATGACCTACTATTCTGTGGTTCCTGGGACAATGGCCTGTCAATAAACTATGGTAACACATATATTTGTTTTATTTTTCAGACATTTGTAAAAGGATATTTGATAAGTTTTGTGAGATTATTACTGGGTATTGACGCTGAACAAAATTCAGGACATTTATCTAGTGTGAGTATTTTAAGATATAAGAACAACACAAACTTTGTCAGTTTGAATTCAATAAAGAAGAAGAAGAAAGACTGGTTTCCGAGCAAAATTGTTCCCTTCCCCCACCCTCAGTTATGGTTTTGATTCCCAAGTTGTACGTGACAAGGAGTAGGGTCGTCTGTCCAACCTTGTGGGTTTTCTCTGGGTCCTCTGGTTTCCTCCCACTGCTAGAGACCCCTACGCACAAGCGAATTATTGAACCATATGTTAGTCCCGAGGTCACGTAGTCGTGTCGAGTGGACGTTTAACCCCAACTCTCTCTCTCTCTCTCTCTCTCTCTCTCTCTCCACCCTCGGACGACATTGTACTCATAGAGGGAGAGAGAGAGAAATGGGGTCATTTCGGGACTAACATATGGTTTAATTTTATCTACATAATTCGCTTGCGCGTAGGGGTCTTTAGCAGTGGGAGGAAACCGGAGGACCCAGAGAAAACCCACGAGGTTGGACAGGCGACCCTACTCCTTGCCACGTACAACCGGGGATTCAAAACCACGCCAGTCGACTCAATGACAGACTTTATGATACAGCGCGCGCACGCTAACCATTCAGCCATCCAACACCCCTTGTACTCATATAAATGAAAATTAACCATATGCTAGTCTCACAATGATGGTATTATTGTGTTGATATCAACCATATGTTAGTCTCAGAATTATGGTAGTATTATGTTGATATTAACCATATGTTAGTCTCAGAATTATGGTAGTATTGTGTATATGTTAGCCATATGTTAGTCTCACAATGATGGTATTATTATGTTGATATGAACCATATGTTAGTCTCAGAATTATGGTAGTATTGTGTTGATATGAACCATATGTTAGTCTCAGAATGAACAAAGTATTGTGTTGATATGAACCATATGTTAGTCTCAGAATTATGGTAGTATTATGTTGATATTAACCATATGTTAGTCTCAGAATTATGGTAGTAATGTGTTGATATGAACCATATGTTAGTCTCAGAATGAACAAAGTATTGTGTTGATATGAACCATATGTTAGTCTCAGAATGACAAAAGCATTGTGTTGATATGAACCATATGTTAGTCTAAGAATGACAAAAGTATTGTGTTGACAAGATATTAAAGCCAATTCCATTCTTTTGGAAGCCATTAACAATCTTTGAACATTTTTATTGACAGTCTGAGAACTGAACTAAATTATCTCCCTTGAGTCTTCAGTAAACCTAAATGAAATGAAATTTAATGGAGTTTAATATCCTTCTTTTCTGCAAGGATTAGGCTAATGAATACGGACAGACACTCTACAGTGTGCTATGAGAAAATTTTGCAAGGATTAGGCTAATGAATACGGACAGAAACTATACAGTGTGCTATGAGAAAATTTTGCCTGAGCAACTGATATAGATATCACAGAAAATAATGAAATAATAGAATTTTGTTCTGGATATTGATGTAGACATTTTAATTTATATTTAAAGGTTCGAGTACGTCGTGCTACATTGGCCCAGTTTCCCACCTACAATGACCTCTATCAGGGGTTAAGTTCCACCACCGGGGAAATACCCATAGCTATTTATAGAACAGAGAGACGTCCTGCTTTATCCGTATCATCTTTTGATGAAAAACCTGTAAGTTAAAGTAACATGCCATTATCATATTAGAACACCTAGTACCACCTGTTATACCCACTAGAGCACCTCATACCATATCTGATTCCCTCAGAACACCTAATACCACAACTTATTCCCCCAGAACACCTAATACAACATCTTATTCCTACTATAACATCTAATACACATCATATTCCCACTAGAACACCTAGTACCACCTGTTATTCCTACTAGAACACCTAATAATAATAATAATAATAATAATAACTTTATTTAATGAGGATAGTCCATCTTATTCGCCCAGAACACCTCATACCACATTTTATTCCCACTAGAACACCTAATATCACATCTTATTACATCTTGATCACCTAATATCGCATCTCTTATTGTATCACTATTTATATATTATTTCAGAAATACTACAATGGGCTATTATTGAGAACATTTTAACTTATAAATCAATGAAAACTTTTTTCTTTTCTTTTCTTTTTTTTTTTTTTACAAAATATGAGAACCTAAGTTAAAAGTTTTTAGAATAGTTGGAGTTTATTTATTTAAACATTTTATGTCTATGAAGTCATAGTGAATGATTTCAATGTTTAGGTCTGCGAACTTTGATTTGGAGAATATTATCAATTTCCATGCTTGACAACCATTTAAAACTGTTTTTTTCAATCATACAATATATTGTTTCTTTATTTCAGTTCTCAAACAACAATACTAAAATACGCCATAACAATATTCGATCCCGTCCATCCATTCCTGCAAAGCTGTTCGTCCAACAGGATGAAGATTTTGACCAGCCGAGTGAACTGGTGTATAGTCGAATGAGAAGTTTGGATTTAAGCGACGACATTCCATGTAAGTGTTTTACTGTAGCTGGAGGCAGACCATCATATTTCAACATCCAATATTAACATTATAAGATCCCGTGAGAATCAATAGTTTGTTTCGTTTTTTATAGTTTACAATTTCGTTTCATCTATTTACTACAATGGATCAGGAAAAGTTGTTATAACAGGCGTTCTAGTTGAAGTGAGGGATTAGCCAATGAAATAGTCTGTTACGGCGAGTTCTTGGCGTCCTCTGCACGGAACTGTGGGCAAACCCCTAGAAACGTCAACACTGATTGATTAATCAATGTCTGACGTCATAGGGTCAAAAAACGCTTGTACAACTGGTCAGATCTTCGTGTTGTGTAGGACATCGAAAGTATAAAAAGAAGGAAACGAAATAAAGACCTGTATTGTAATCAGATTGCGTGAGATTGTATTTGCATCTTGCCAGCGAGAGCGTGTTTTCGAATCCCAGGTTGTACGTGACAAGGAGTAGGGTCGCCTGTCCAACCTTGTGGGTTTTGTCCGGGTCCTCCGGTTTCCTCCCACTGCTAAAGACCACTACGCGCAAGCGAATTATTGAAATAAAATTAAACCAAATGTTAGTCCCGAAATGACCTAGTTTGTGTCGAGTGGACGTTAAACCCCATTTCTCTCTCTCTCTCTCTGCCAGCGAGAGTCGGTGCGTGCACAAGCATAGAACCTGTCTCACAGCATTCTGCTTTTTTTATTTCATACCACAGGGCACACAATCGTTGCATGGCAACACTATATTTCATGAGGTCAATATTTAGATGTACTATGATTGATTTTTCAGATGAAAGTGTAGCAGAGAGAAATATTCTATCATATGTAATAGTTAATCCTTCGCCGAAACGTAAACTAAAGAACGGTGACATGATGTAAGTATTTAATAACAAGTTTAATGTCCACCCGAAACAAACTGGTTTATTTCAGGATTAACATTTTATGGTTCTTTTGGTGGGCATACGTAATACAGTGTGCTATGAGGAACATTTTGCCCGGACATTGGCACTACGGCCTACTCTGATATCGAATTCCAATTGGCAAGTGATCTTTTATGCGCACGCCACTGTGTACACAGGACCTTGGTTTTCCGTCCCATCCGAACGACTATACAGCTGTCCTTTGCTGCAACCTCGGTCCTGCACCACTGACAAGGAGGAACCAGCCGGAAATTCCCGAAGAACTTTCTCGGCCAACGCAGGGATCGAACAAGGACCTCCACGTTAGCGTGCCATCCTGACTCCAGATTTATGTCAAAAAAGAACGTAAAAATGACGTAAAATTTACATTATATCAACATCATTTTCTGACGTTACGTCATTTCCTGACGTTTGCGTGTCAAGGTCTTACTCACTGAGTCACCGTGGCTCCCAGCAACTGAGACGTTACATGCGACTGGAAGACCAGCAGCTGACATCCAGTTTCTGCTACCTGCCTGTGTTCTACTTTTCAGGCAACTACTTGTGCTCACTTTCTCTAAAATGGTCAATCTAGGCGCAAATGAGAACTGATCATGCTTTATAACAATGGGGGGGGGGGGGGGGGGGTGGATGGCTGAATGGTTCTACTTTTCAGGCAACTACTTGTGCTCACTTTCTCTAAAATGGTCAATCTAGGCGCAAATGAGAACTGATCATGCTTTATAACAATGGGGGGGGGGGGGGGGGGTGGATGGCTGAATGGTTAGCAGGAGCGCGCTGTACCATAAAGCCTGTCATTGAGTCAACTGGCGTGGTTTCGAATCCCCGGTTGTACGTGACAAGGAGTAGGGTCGCCTGTCCAACCTTTAAGGTTTTCTCTGGGTCCTCCGGTTTCCTCCCACTGCTAAAGACCCCTACGCGCAAGCGAATTATTGAAATAAAATTAAACCATATGTTAGTCCCGAAATGACCTAGTTGGTGTCGCGTGGACGTTAAACCCCATTTCTCTCTCTCTCTCTTTATAACAATGATCCTTTCTATCTCTTTATCTGTAAGTTCATCTTCTGGACACCGCTGACAAGGACTGCTGTCTTGTTCGGATGGGACGAACACATTGACATGCATGTAAGAGATCCCTTGACAGTTGGAATTTGATATAACCGTAGGCCGTAGCGTAGCTGTCTAGGCAAATTTAAACTCATAGCACACTGTATGACGTATGTCCGTTTCATTAGCTCTGTCGGAGCAGAACAGTAGGATGTTAAACCCCATTTCATTTTATTTTTGTTGATCTATTACAGATACGTCATCCAGCCGAGTTCCATGTTTGCTGTACCAAATAAACTTAAATGGAAATCTCCGAAAGTGCCTCGTAGAAACTTTGACAATGAATCTGATTCAACGCCTATTTTATCACGACCTACTCGCATTAGTTGGAATTTACCGGCATATCACAACAACTCTTCAAACGGCAAGAGTCCAATATCAAATGAAGAATTTGAGAAGCGAAAAAGATCTAAATCAGAATCTCAAGCGTAATGTGGATATTCTGCTGATGATGTTGTTCGGTGGATTGAAGGCAGCTTATATAAAGAGATCTCAATCTAAAACATTGATACTGGTCATAAGAATCAGTGGTGGTTAAAATGTGGACCATTATCCTGAGTTTAACTGGAGCTATTACTGTATTGGTCGTCACCTGGTCAAATTGTTGAGGACCATCATCCTGGAACTTTTACTGTATTGGTCGTGGTCAACAATTGGACTATAATCGTGAACTTGACTGGAACTTTTACTGTATTGGTCGTGGTCAAAATGTGGACTGACTGGAACTTTTACGGTATTGATGGTGGTCAAAACATGGATCATTATCGCCTGTTTATCTAAAGTGTTTGAAATATGAAGCACTACCGGGGGCGTTCGTCTACAACTATTACTGCCGGTAAATATTGTATCCACGATTCTATGATCTGAAATAGGTTACCACAAAGTATGTGTATTTGTTGGTGTTCACATGCTTCATTCCTGTGGTGGTTCCTTAGATGTATACTCATGGCCTTTGGGACAATGGTTGGGGTGAAGCTATGAATTTATTTTATTTCTTGACATCACATCCTGTTTTAACAACCTCGTCTCTGTATCAAAAGTTATTTAATTCTTGTCAACTGGTGTGTATGGTGTTCACGGCCAATATCAAATGTTACACACAACTTGTCAGCTAATGTTTATAGTAATCACAACCTAAACATTATCAAATGTTACACAACTTAAATTGTATCAAATGTTCAGGTTGTAACTGGTGTATATGGTATTCACAGCCTGACCAATATCAAACGTTACACAACTTGTCAACTGTTGTCATGGTAATCAAAACCTACACGGTATCAGATGTATACAACTGGTGTTTATGGTAATCACAACCTTAACAGTATCAAATGTTAGCAGTTTGTCAACTTGTAATCACAACCTATACACGATCAAATGTAGACAACTTGTGAACTGGTGTATATGGTCTTCACAACCTGACCAGTATCAAATGTTAGACAACTTGTCAACTGGTGTATATGGTATTCACAACCTGACGTATATCAAATGTTAGACAACTTGTTAACTGGGGTTTATGGTATTCACAACCTAGCTAACTCTAAAGCAGATTCATTCAATAAACGAATATATTGAAATTACTCAATAGACCATTTTATTTGAAAAGAACATTGGTTTATTATTATGAACTCAAGTATTGGAAGTCTACACATTTGACAATACACACACCCATAAAAGTTTTAAAAAATTATTTAGAAAAAAATGTATTATTGTTTACCAAATCACCAATAGAAGATGACACTGGCCATATGTTTTAATTGTGAGTTGACCATTCCACAATTCACAAACGGAAAGTGAAAATATTTCACGTGTATCAATATGGTATCAATATCCACTCTCCTCCATCCTCTGTTTCGCCAAAATATTCTTTACCTTAAATGCCTAATAGCTGACTAACTCTATCAAAATAATGCTGTTAGGGGTACTTAATTCCAAGACATCTGTTTGTGGTGATAGTAAAGGGTAGACTGACGTCGAGGTGACATTGGCCAAATTGGAGTTAATTGGTTCTATAGGACTTGGTGGTTGGGATGGCCCAGTGGTCTAGAGTGCCGCGTTTCGACCTCTAGCTGGCCGGTCACCTCTGGTTTGCGGCTGTGGTTTCAAATCCCTAGTGTGAATGTATGTGGCTTGGAGATAGGGGGTGCCTTCCGGGTCCTTTAGAGGTCTATTCAGTGAATGGCCCATGCGTTGTACTTGATAACGAACGGTAAATGTCACCTACACATTATTTTTATAAAATAAAAGTCTGATTTTTCCAGACACCGCAGAATACAGCTTAGGACACCGGTCTCCATTTCCAGATGAAGACTAACGGGTTTAAGTTGTTTGAAAACATATCACATACATTGAGCTGGTTGCGCGGCCCTGAGATAGGGGATTTTAAAGGATTTGAATACAAAATTAAGAAGTTTTATTCTCCCAAATATAATCAGGATTGGCCCTTTAAACACTAAGAACAACATTCCAAAGGATCTAACTAGTTAGAACAACTGCCCACATAACATTATAAGGATCGGTTAACTCTTTTAAACGTTGATTTAACGTCAGGAAATTATGTAACGCCAGGAGAGAGAGAGAGAGAGTAGGTCATGATACAACGCGCTAATCATTCACCCCACCCCCCCCCGATCACTATTGATATTATCATGTATATGTATATACTCCTTATTAATATGTCTCATTAACACGCATGTTTTTTTATTATCTTATTCTTTATATTGTTTATTAAAACTAACATAAGAGATTAAAATTGTCGTATTACGTCATTCTTATAGTCTTTCAAGATGGAGTTTGTCATAATTTCCGACAAACACATCATATCGATATCTATAACAAATTGTTTTTATTTTTGTCTAAATATTTCTAAACAAACCAATCAATTTTTTTTAATTTCCTAGAAAAGGAGACGAAAAGCTTTTTTTATTCAAATATTATGTGTTTCATACTGTAACCTTCATATTTTCATGGTAAATGGCCTGTGGGACAAAAAAACTATTTTTACTCAATTTATAATAATTTTTAAAATTATTATAGAATTATTATACAGTCTTTTACAAAAGTTTTTGACAATTTTGATTCGATCGAAGAATTCTAAGAGCTCGTTTGTCCTACTGAAACGGTGCACGTGCGCCTGAAGGAATATTTGAGTTTTATACGTCCACATTGCATGTTAGGTTCGTTGCTTTCACCCTTTTACAATATCATTTTAAAATTCGACAGGATTTATTTCTCTTTGGGTTCCGAAAGAACGACATCTGTCGAAATTCAGTATTCGACAAATCCCAACTTATGCAGGTATCGCCCAAGTTGAAATTTATGCAATGTTATAAAAGTGACATTCGGCAGATTTTTACCTCTGATGGCTTGTTCATACAAGTGTGGGGATTGATTCCTTAACTTTTTAATCGAGTGTGGTGTTATGGTATCGATGACCAAGGAGCCAATTTACTGTTCAGGTCTATTATAATTACGACTGATTAAATGTGTTCATGGTTTGTTGTTTAAATAGGAATTGACAAAAAGCATAAATAACAAAATAACAATTACTTGGCTTTTATTAGAGCGACTTTTTAACTAGACTTCTCTAGTATTCATCAGACAATCTAACTAGGCTTCCCTCCTGTTCTTCAGGCATTTGAACTAGGCTTCTCTGGTATTTTCCAGGCATCAACTAGTCAATCAACTTGGCTAGGGCTATAGTCTTCATCGGGCATTTCAACTTGGCTAGTCAAGTATTCATCGGGCATTTCAATTTGGCTTCTCTAGTATACACTACCCCTGTCTTCATCAACCCAGTCGGGCGGAACACTGGGACGTTAAACTCCATTTCATTTTATTTCATATTCATTGACTGTTACACAAGCCTAGTTGAAACGTTGGTATAATAAAAGCTAAGTAAATGTTATTTGGTTATTTTTAAGTATTTATGTTGACGATTTGTTGGTATGTATTGTTTTATCATCTGATTGTTTTGTATATTAGTATTTATACAATATTTCTATTTTTGTACAGTAATTAATACCATAAATAAATAATATAACAAAAATAGGAATAGTTTTTTTCTGAACGTATATTGTGGACGTATATTGTCGTTGCCTCCGTCCGTCCGTCCGTCCGTCCATAAGTGTTTGTGAACACTTTACAGGTCACAATTTTTGTACGCCCACATTTTCATGTGGACATATATTGTCGTCGCCCCTGTCCACCCGGACATCCGTCCGTCCGTCCATAATTTGTTTGTGGACACTCTACATGTCACAATTCTTATGCGATTTTGACGAAACTTGAAATATAGGTTTATCTCCAAAAGATCTCGACTGCTTTCGATATTGGCATGTATCGGATCGAAAGTTCATGGATTATGGCCCCTGATTGTACGAAAAATCACGTTTTTAGGTTGTGGACCATATAGCGGTCACAATATTGATTCAATTCTGATGAAACGTGACATGTATGTTTATATCCCAATGATCTTGGTTCCTTTCGATATTTACGCCCATCATAACTTCCTGAATTATGGCCCCTGATTGTCCGAAAAATCGCCTTTTTTTTTTAGCTTGTGTTCCCTCTGGAGGTTACAATTATTATCCAATTATTATTTAAAAAACTGTTTGTTGATGAAACTTGAAATGTAAGTTTATAACCGAAAGATCTCGGTTCCTTTCGATATTCGCGCATATCGAACAGTAACTTCCTGAATTATGGCCCCTGATGCACGAAAAATCGCGTTTTTAGCTTGTGGACCCTATAGAGGTCATAATTTTTATCCGATTTAAACAAACCGTATTAGTATATACACCCTAAGGATGACTGAGTTCGAATTTCGTGATAATCGGCCCAACACTGACAGACAAAATGGCCACCCCTAGTACACAATTAGCGTAAAAATATGGTATATCAATGTTGTAGACCCTCTAGAGGTCACAACTTTCTTCTAATTTTGATGAAACTTGAAATATAAGTTTATAACCCAAAGATATCCGCACGTATCGGATCGTAACTTCCTGAATTGTGGCCCTTGATTGAACAAAAAATCACGTTTTTAGCTTGTGGTCCCTGTAGAGGTCATAATTTGTATCTGATTTAAAAAAAATGTGTGAATATATCACCATTACACACTAAGGTCTTGATTCCTTTTGATAATCGCGGATACCCGAACTTAACTTCCTGGATTATGGCCCCTGATTGTTCGAAAAATGGCATTTTTTTCCAATTTTTAAAAAGCGTTTAAATATTTCACCATTCCACCATAATGAAGGTTGGATTCGAATTTCGGGAAAATCGAAATGAAACTGCCCAACAAAATGGCCGCTCTTTGTACTCAAATTGTATAAAAGTATGCAGTACAAAGGTTGTCGACCCTCTAGAGGTCACAATTTTTATCCGATTCTGATGAAACTTAAAACATGTTTTTATATTCCAAAGATCTCAGTCCCTTTGATATATGCGCATTTCAGACTATAACTTTCTGGATTATTGTCCCTGATTGTACAAAAAATCCCGTTAGTTTTTAGCCTGTTCTCTATCCATCTCTTGCAAAACGTGGGCGTATCCTGCCTGGCAGCCGTTGGTTATCCGATTTCAATGAAACTTGAAATATAGGATTATCACCCTACGGTCTCGGTTCCTTTCGATATTGGCATGTATGAGACTTTATCTTTATGGATTTTGGCCCCTGATTGTACAAAAATTCACGTTTTTAGCTTGTGAACACTGTAGAGGTCACAATTTTTTTTATCCGATTTGGTTTAAACCTGAAATGTATGTTTATTACCAACAGATCTCGGTTCATGTCAATATTCGCGCAAATAGGACAATAGCTTCCTGAATTATGGCCCCTGATTGTATGAAAAATCGCGTTTTTAGCTTGTGGTCCCTCTGGAGGTCACAATTATTATTCGATTTAAAAAAAAACGTTCGAAATATATCCCCGTTACACCGTAATGTTTGTTGAGTTTGAATTTTGTGAAAATCCGGCCAAAACTGTCGGACAAAACGGCCGCCCCTAGTACGCAAATAGTGTAAACATCTGGTAAATCAAGGTTGTGGACCCTCTATAGGTCACAATTTTGACCCGATTTCAATGAAACTCGTAATACATGTTTATAACCCAAAGATATTGGTTCCTTGCAATATTCGTACATTCTGAATTATGGCCCTTGATTGAACAAAAAATCACGTTTTTAGTTTATGGTCCCTGTAGAGGTCACAATTTTTTCCGTTCGTGAGTTCGTGAGTTTAACGTCCACTTCGACATAGGGTGATATCGTAGACAAGAAATTTTTTCCGATTTTAAAAACCTTTTAAATACATCACCATTCCACCATAATGAAGGTTGAATTCGTATTTCGGGAAAATCGAAATGAAACTGCCCGACAAAATGGCCGCTCTTTGTACGCAAATTGTGTAGAAGTGTGTAGAGGTCACAATTTTTATCCGATTTTGATGAAACTTAAAATACATTTTTATATCTCAAAGATCTCAATCTATTTTGATATTTGCACATTTCGGGCCATAACTTTCTGGATTATTGCCCCTGATTGTACAAAAAATCGCGTTTGTTTTTAGCTTGTTCTCTATCCATCTCTTGCAAAATGTGGGCGTATCTTTGCCTGGCAGCCGCTGGTTTACACGTTAATTTGACGTGAACGTCACATACAAATATTGTCAACGTTACATACCTCAACGTTTCACCGCATGTTTTGCGCAATATAGAACGATGGGTGCTGACGTGCCATAAAGATCCATATCGAATTCATTCATCTAAAACTAAGTGATGTAGTCAAAGTTTGCAATAAATTAATTTGAATACGGTCCTGAATATTATATTATATATTATACACCAATAATAATCTAGGTTAATATTTATTTGAGAATATTCAGTATAACTCAATGATGTGAAAGTTTCATCCTGGTTTACGTTCTCTTGATCAATCTATATGTTAAACAAAGAGTAGTTGTTCAGTATGACTCAATGATATGAAAGATGCGTCCGGCGTGGCGTCCTGTTGACCTAGATACAGACAACATTATTATAGTTTTATATATTTAATAACTCATTATCTATTAGGTGTCAGCCATAGTACAGGAGAATTGGTCGACAAGAAGAACATTATTATAGTTGGTACCATGTTGATAGATAAAATGTTGACTAAAGATAGAGTATTAATCTGTCTGCTTATATCCAGTCATGTTTATTTTGTATTGGGTAAGTTTTATATATTTAATAAATCATTATCTATTAGGTAATCATGAAAGTTCCAGGGAATAAGTAATATATTGAAAGAGGGATAAAGAAATAAATACTTACCGCTCATGCAATACACGATAACCCGTATTGTATTGTTTAAATCCTCCTCCCCGACTAACTTAATAGTATTTAGTGTCACCCAACTGCCCCCCCCCCCACTAACTTAATAGTATTTAGTGTCACCCAACTGCCCCCCACAACTAACTTAATAGTATTTAGTGTCACCCAACTGCCCCCCCCCCCACTAACTTAATAGTATTTAGTGTCACCCAACTGCCCCCCCCCCACTAACTTAATAGTATTTAGTGTCACCAAACTGCCCCCCCCCCGCCACTAACTTAATAGTATTTAGCGTTACCCAACAGTAGTACTTTGTTACAGTATATGTAAATTTAAATGTACGGTAAATGAAACTACTTGTCAGTGGTATTCTGTGTGATATCTGGAATGTCGTAGTATGACTTGTATTTTGACATTTAAGACCCCATCCTCCCTCCCAATCAATTAATAGAGTTTAATAGCGTACAACCTTTCAAATTATTTTCTGGCACATCTATATTTACTTACCCTGAAAGATCAAAGTTCCACTGTTCTAAATTTTATTAGGGGGGGGGGGGGGGATGTTAAAATTAAAAAAAACCCATCTTATAAAGAAATTTCTGATATATGTTCATAAGCAGCTGGAAAATATGTTTATTGTTTGCTACAAAATGTAAATTATTTTCTTCTTGCACATTTGTATTTACATACCTTGAAAAAATAACAAATTTGAAATAGGACTAACATGTATTAAATGAGGAGGGGAGGGGGTATTTGACGTCAAAATACGGGCCATAACACAAAAATACAAGATATCGGGATGCATACCATTAAAAAAAGTCTGAATACATTTTTTCAAAATTGTAAAATATCGTCTGAAATATTCATATTTACATACCTTGTTAAAGCAGATATAATTTGGATCCCATCACTAACTCTATTTAGTGAGGGGAGGGGGTATTTAAAAGTCAAAATACGCGTCTTAATACGAAATTCCAGTTATCGTATAATGCTTCACCGGAAAGTATTTGTCTATCGCTCTTTGAATATACGAGTATTAGCTATTTTACTGGCACATCTATGATTACATGATTTAGAAGAGATCAAGCCCTCTTTCGTTTGTCCAAAGAAATATGTCGCTATCCGACACAACCTAATTTCTGTAAACAGACTACTTTCAAATTATTTTATTGAATCCTAGATCAGATTAACCAATATAAATCGCGGTCATCGAGCAATTTTTCTTATTGTATATAAGTTTGCTCGATTCTCTTGTGTTGTATGGTGACTTATTTCATGTGCTATGAAGAGTATTATAACTGCCACTCGTGTCCAAGTTTTATCATCTGCTTATCATATCATGGGGTGAACTTAATTAATAGTTAATCAAATTAGCAAGTGGAACAGGCAGACTTTAGATAACGATCTAACGATATTTACAATATTAATTACATTGATACAATTGAAATTAGGGTGTCATATTGTTTTATATCAAGATAAAGAATAATGAATGATCTGAACACATTTTACAAATCTTCAATAAGATATTTTGAAAGAACGTATCAAAATTAATAACGGTTTATCTCTCTAAGTTTCGAACAATACACAAAACAAAACATCACATTCGCTTCTAATTTAAGCGCGGGCATATAAAGCCACTCAATTTCTCTTGAGAAAAATAAATAAAATCTCTCCCGTTAATACCTGGCCCTCCCATTAATCTTTGGGGTACTCGTTACATCACAAATAATAATCTCTCGGGCCCTCCCATTAAATATTTGGGGTATCACAAATAAAATCTCTCCCGTAAAAATCGGTGCATCCCATTACACTTGGGGTAATATACACGTATAGACAAAACAAAAACAACTTAAGAGATAAACGCGTTAATACTTTGTGAATGTTATTGGGTTAAATTCCAAATTACGATACTGTTAACTCAATTCTAGTTAAACAATCACAAAACATTTTAGTTCTCGATATTAACCTGTTAATACTAAATTTGAATGCCACAATATGTGTTCAAAAACAAACATATAATCTATATAAAACATTTTCCTACAAATATTGCCTTTCGAGCTGGTAGTGGAACAGTTCCACTGTCTTTGAGTAAATCTTATGTGTCTTGTGGCCCACACAAGTCGGTTACGGCGATGAAGAGCTGTCAATATTGGTCCATTATACACTGTAACAAAAATTTCCGTGAAAAAACGTAAAAAATTCCGGAAACAAAAATTACCAGGAAAATTTTATCCGTATTTGTTTTTCCTGTAATTTACAGAAATTCCTTCAATTAACATAAATTCCATTTTCAAATTCAGAAAAAAAAATCCTGGTAAATTTTCTTTCCTGAGCATGAAGATGATAAAAATTTCATTGAATTAACCATTGACTTTATACCCGTGCGTCAAATAGCTTTATCTAACGTCCGCTTCCACCGAAGTGATATCGCAGATAATCTTTAAACATAACCTCTTTTCGCTAATTTATGAATCGAGAGCAAGGTATCACAACCGGCCACTCGTTGGAGGCTTTCAGTGGTAGACTCTGCTATAGAGACAACCTGACTTACACTGGCCAACGGGTTGTACTATCTGGATTTAAGCCTGCTTTTTTTTTTTTTTTTTTTTTTTAAAGAATTTATTCACTCAATAAAAATATTATACATCATATCAAAAATCCCATCATCTATGTACAAACAGTGTAAAAATGTACAAAGATAAAAATTAAAAAATTGATGATGGGGAGTGAATAATGTTAAAATATTGTCATTATTTACTTTAAATTGCAATTAGAAAAATAAACAAAGTACAAATTAACTGTTAACAAAAATATTACCAAAAACGTATATACACCAAAAAATATAAAACAATTAACATATTTACAAGCATAATACACATAAACACATGTACAATATTATAATACACAACAAACTATAGCTAATACAACAGAATAATCACAATGTGAAGTGAAAAGAATCTAAATTAAAAAGTCGAGAAATTTTCATAATTCAAAAACTAAAAGACAACTTACCATTTTTATCTAACAAACAAAATAAACCGGGATCAAGCCAATATTTATTAAATTTGCTAGGGGTAAATCTAAATTTATCAACAGTTATTCTAAATCTTAATTTCTCTAAGAAATCACAAATAATAGTTTCCGTAGATACAGACTTCTGTTTAAATTTACAATCCTGACGATTACGCTATATAACAGCTTTCGCTAAATTAACAATATACAAAATAACATCAAAAATAAATTTGTTCATTTTAGGAAAAGTTAAAAACCGAATCAATTCAAAAGTTAATGCAATAGAGCCTAAAGATAAACTGTCAATCCAATTATGAATAATTACCCATATAGGGGAGACAACTCCACATGTATAAAATAAATGTTCCAGTGTTTCAATATTATTACAAAAAGTACATTTTTTTTCTAAAGAATGCTTACGTGTAAAAAGTGTCCACATGCAAGGAACAATATCATGCGCGAAACGCCAAGCAAAACTTCTTACATGAGGATCAACAAAATTACAATGAACATTAGAAAATACAGTTTGAAAATTAATCTGAGGCATAATCTTAACTATAAAATTTTGTTTAACTATAGGTTTCAACAATAAATAATAAAATTCTTTAGATGAAGTATGATCATGCCAATTAAAATCCGGATACAGCTTAATGAAATTCTCTAAAATTACCTTACAATTCTTATAGAAACTTGGTACAGAATCACCATGTGGCTTATTATTTGTAAATAAGGAAGAGTCAATTTTTTTGAGAGTAAACCCTAGCCAATAAAAAACAAAATACTTAAAATTAGAATTACAACCATTAACAATATTATGTATATGTTTAAGTCTAAGAGATTGAAATTTTAATAAAATATGCACAACTGACAAACCCCCTTCCCGCTTACTACCGTATAAAACCAGACGTTTAAGACATTCAAAACGTTTAGTGCCCCATATAAATTTGAACATTATTGAATTAAATTTTTGAATTAATATATTCGGAACGTCGATTATACTTCCAACATGCCAAAGTTTTGATAAACCAACTGCTTTTATAATATTAGCACGACCAAATATGCTCATATCTCTATCACCATAATCAAAAGTAACATATATAAAAGAATTCAAAATCTTATTAAAATTATCATCTACAGTAATGGATTTCCCAAATTTAACTCCCAAAACTTTCTGAGAATCTACCCAGGATACACCATAGGCCTGATCCGAAATATTAAAATTACCAAAAGTTAAAACCTTCGTCTTACTTTTATTTAAACGGGCCCCCGAACCTCGACCGTATTGTTCATAAACATCTAAAACCCGCTGGACACTCAGTGCTGTTGTGCAAATACCGGTGACGTCATCTGCATAAGCAGTGACACGAGCCTCGCCGTTATTACCGGGAAGGGAAATACCTTTAATAAATGGATCAGACCTAAGGCGAACCAAAAAAGGTTCTAAAGCTAAAACATATAATAATGGTGATAACGGACAACCCTGTCTAACAGAACGTGTCACTTTAAAAGATTCAGATATAAAACCATTAACGAGGACTGAGCTGGATACATCTGTATATAAAAGTTTCACCCACTTAATAAAAGATTCACCAAAATTATATCGTTTTAAACACGCGAAAAGGAAATCGTGATCTACTCGGTCAAATGCTTTTGCCGAATCTAGATTAACAAATGCGACTTTCAAGTGTTTTTGTTGACAGTAGTCAATTACGTTCCGTATCAAGTGAAGATTAGCAGAGATTTGGCGGCCAGGAACAGAACAAGTTTGATCAAAATGTACGATTTCCCCGATAACACAGCTCAATGTTCGTTGAATAATTTTTGAAAGAATCTTAAAATCTACATTAAGTAAAGATATTGGTCTCCAACATTTTATATCATAATCATGATTTCTGTCTTTACATAATAAAGTGATAACACTAAGTTTTTGAGATTCACAAAGAGAAAAATTATCATAACAAGAATTATAAAGTTCTAATAAAATAGGACCAAAAATATCAAAAAATTTAGCAAAGAACTCCCGACTTAGACCATCAAGACCAGGACTACGATCATGTTTAAAATTATTAAGACTAGTTCTTATTTCTTCCAGAGTTATATACCCATCACAGAGCTCGCTTTCCTCATCATCAAGTGTCGGTAAATCGTGTAAAAAATCGTTCATTATATCATGGTCAATAGGCTCTTTAGTGAATAAATTTGAATAAAAGTCACTGGCTATGCGAATTAGATTCTCAGAATCAGTAAAAGTTTTATTACAAGAAGGATCATTTAATTTAGAAATATATTTATTTTTGGCGCGTTTACTTTCTTTATTTAAAAAATATTTTGACGGTGTTTCGTTGTTATCTAAGTATCGGGCCTTGGCTCTAATAATATGACCTCTATCTTTAATTAAGTTAAAAGTTAACAATTCTTTCTTAACAGCCTTAATTTGATCAATATATGCACCAGGATCGGACGATTCAGCGGAAATTAACTGATAAAAACGTTTTTCTAATTCTCTACGTAAAATACAATTATTCTTATTTTTATTTCTACAAAACGACACAATAAAATTCTTTATATCTATTTTACATTGTTCCCACCATGATGTAGAAATTACCTCATCAGTATCAAAATATATCTCCCAAAACAATCTAAATTCAAGAATAAAATTATCATCATCAAGTATTGAATTATTCAACTTCCAAAAACCTGGCCCAATAGTAACAGAAGAATTTAAATTAATATTGATTAAAACGAAATCATGATCAGAAGCTGAACAAGGCAATACTTGATGATGATTAACAAACTGTAAATATCTCTGAGAAATATAAAATCTATCTATTCGTGATGAAACCCCCACCCCGCGCCACGTAGAAATGACCCCCGTAGGGTTTAACGACCTGAAAACATCAACTAAATTAAGATCAGCTACAAGATTTCTCAACTGCACATGGCCTTTCAATACAGCAAAAGGGTTTCCCCCTATTTTATCCTTCTCCCGATCTAAAACACAATTAAAATCACCCCCCAAAATTAGAACATGTGATGTAATACAAAATTTATGGATATACGTAAAAAATTCCCGTCTGTCGGTACAATCAACTGGAGCATACACATTTAGAAATCTAAAAAATATATTATTAATGGATGCATCTAGAAAAATCATACGACCAGAAAAATCAAAATCAAATTTAATAATGTTAAAATTAATTCTATTAGATAAAAGTATCCCCACGCCCTTTTCTCTATTTGCCCCGAAACTCCAAAAGGCCTTAAAATCACCAAAAGATTCTAACATTTTGCCGTCTGCTACAGACTGAATGTGTGTTTCTTGTAAGAATACAACATCAGCTTTATGCGAATTAATATCGTTCATTACAAGTCTTTTGCGTTTATAAGCAGCTAAACCATTAACATTAATAGTGATAATATTTAAAGTTGGAATTGACATTTTATTGTAGATGGGGAAATAACAGCAATGATAGAAATTGAAACAATAATAAGATAATTCAATAAAATACATATAAAAATATTTAATTGGCAAAAACCCATTATGAATACTAGATAGACAAAAACGTACAGGCTTACAGTGATTACGTTTTTACCTGTTAACTCACATGAACAGTGGTGAGTAAAGGCTACAGTGACTGGTGTGTGTATAAAACCATACTCTGTACAAACATCGCAGCAGACGACAGAAAACAACATCACACTATATACACTTTCTAAACAGTTTAAAGTGGCGGTTCTACAACCTGCAAAATAAAAAACTTGTTGAAACAACACATCATTTATATATTTACACATGTTAAAGTTTATTTTTCTTTTTGTCCTTAACAACGGTAAAGCCTTCATCATCTTGCATATGACGTTTATTACGAGAGTCAAAATTTGTTAGTCTCAATCCGGGATGCCAAGGGGTGATCGGGGATAAAAGAGGACTACTACCCCCTGTCACACAAATCTCTTCCTCCATAACGTTATTGGTATTACTCTCGCGATCATCCATTTCTTCAATCATATTACCTTCCATTCCATCTACCTGTTTATCACCATCTTCGCTGTTCTGATCAATTTCCCTTTCATCCTCACTACCATCCTTTTCACCTTCTTTCAATACCTCGACCGCAGGCACCTGCTCAGCTGAAATTGCGCTAGGACGTGGGGGCGATACTGACTCAGCAAAGGTTTTTTTGGGTGGACCCCAAACAGAATTTATACAGTTTGCGCTAACATGACCAATACAGTTACATTTCAAACATAGTGGCAGCCTGCCTGGAGCAGTTACGAGCATACGCAGATTACTTTTCTCAACCCGTATCATGTGCGGAATAGGGGTCTTTAAAAAATCAGAAACTACTAAAGTTATTGCTCGCATTCCTGTACCAAGCTGTACCCCCTCGTAAGACGATCTCTCTTCGTAAACCCGGGTCACCTCGCCAAATCTTTCAAAAATCTTCCTTAAAAATCTATCCTTAACGTATCTGGGCACCCAGTGTACTCGTAGGTTCACCACCGACTTGGTTGCGTCACAAAAATAATATCTTATGCCATTGTACGTACCGCTACCTATGTATATTAGTGCTTCAACCATTTTACTAGATTTAAGAGTAACGTACCATTCTTCAGACTTGTCCCTTTTACTAATCGCTTCAACAGCCTTGGATGAATCTAAAGCTAAACATATCATCTTGAAAATCGTTGGCCTATAAACCATTACCTTCTTGTCTAAGGTCACTTTAACTGTCCTGGAAACGACATCGTCATCAATATCATCATCTTCAAAATCAACATCAATCACGTGATCAGACATTATAAACCACCGTGGTATACACACTCACCGCACTGAATCTAACTCTGCTGGGGAAATCTGCACTCGAAAAACTCACTAGCAATAACAACACTTCTTTGGCTATGGTACATTTATTCCTACTGGCGATTTCCAAACAGTCCCCAGATATTACCAGATATTACAACCTTACCACACGAGGCATTAAAACATATTTTTAAATATTTATGAAAATACTTACAATCTGATTTCCGTATGATGAATAACAATACACTTTATAGATCTTATAAATAATGGAAATTAGATATACATTTCAATTAATATACCAAACGTTACAAAATATGATTCTTCATATTATGGTTAATCCATTGAAATGAATACTATAACATGATCATTATTATAAATGATTATATATGTATATGATTACTTATCGTTGTACCGCTTATCCCATAAAATAACAGAATTAAGTCCATTACAGAACGGAATAAAACATTTTATCCCTGAATTTCACGGAACTTCCTTGTCATTCCACCGTTTATTCCGTAAAATAACAGGATTAAGTCCATTATAGAAGGGAATAAAACATTTTATCCCTAAATTTCACGGAAAGTTCCTGTTAAATACTGAATATTCCACAGAAATATATAAAACACATAATTTGAAGAAATAATTCATGCTTTTAACACAATTTTACCAAAAAATCCTTCGATTAACAGAAAAAAGGTGTTAAACTACGGAATTCGGCCACATCAAAAATGGATATTTTTTATAGTGTAGGGCCTCCGAGCTCGAAGACCAGCAGCCTGCAAGCGATTTCGAACAGTTTGTGCAGTTACCCTTCCACCAAACATCTCTCTACTTGTGGAGGTTGCAGTGACAAATCTGTTTCTAAGATGACGTAATCGTATTGCTTGATCTTTCTGGAGTGACGTCACACGTGGCGCTCCCGCCCTTGGGCGGTCAGTTCCAGTTTGAAGCACTCTCATTCTAAGATTAATTATTTTCTGGCGTGAACAATTAAAGGCTCTTGCAACAGTGACCACAGACTGACCAACATAGAGCCTACCTATAGCACGTAGACGTTCTACATTTGAAAGGCGCGGCTTTGTCTAACAAAGATGAAAATAACAATTTTAATTTGTTTTTCCAGTTCAAGTTACGTGTGCTTGTTCAGTTTAAGCGAACTTGCATCGATTGACCTCACGAGTTTGTGTTTGCACGTGTTTTTCAGGTTTTTCATCTTTATATGCTCAAAAGTCATGTAATCCACGTGACTTTACAATTTTATGAAATTAAAGGCTTCTTACTACTTACTATCGTTAGAAACACTTTAAAATTTATTTGATTTGTTGAAAGTCATCAGTGTCAAGTTTTTAATTTGGCTGAGTATATTAATACTTTTATTCTTCTTCTAACATATTATGTACAAACATCGTAATATTAAAGACACCCAGAACTAAGTTACATTACATGGCCGTTGTACGATCTTAACCCCAGACCTGCGTGGCCTGGAGTTAACTACTAGACGTCCTCGCCTAGCCTCCGACTGTCCTCTCCAACGTTAAACCCCATTTCTCTCTCTCTCTCTCTCTCTCTCTCTCTCTCTCCGACTGTCCTCTCTACTTTTCGTTTCTGCTTATAAAATCTTTCTAGACAAAGGATGTCAGATCTAGTCTTTAATACAGATTGCACCAGACGAATGATTTCTAAGAGATTATGCAGTTGGCTATTTATTGCATCATAACTCAGACCAGGGGTCGTAAGTAATGACCCGTTGGCGGCGTCAGACCAGTGTCAATGTCATAATCTGATAAGGTTAACCGATTGCATGAATGAAGGGTGTAAAATGATATTTTCTCAATTGTGTAACAGTCATAATGTTCCGGTTTTTGGAGAAATATACAAAATGCATTCGGGATTGACATGCCACCGAGAATTGGTAGTCCTTGAGTGTAGTGCCGGATGGAGGGCCTGACAAGGAGAGCTGTCTAGTCGTTCGGATGGGACGAAAACCCGAGGTATCGTATATACACTGGAATGCACGTAAAATATCCCTTGGCAGTTTGAATTCGATGTAAGAGTAGACCATAGTGCCGCTGTCCGGGCAACATTTCTCTCATAGCACACTGTGTGGCGCACGGCCGTCTTCATTAACCCAGGTCGGAGCAGAACAGTAGGAAATGAAATGAAATAAAATGGGGTTTAACTTCCTACTTGTCTGCACCAACGGGTATAATGAAGACGGGGGTCTATCTGGTCAATTTACAATAGCAGCTATTACATGCATCATATGTTAATTCTTATCAGTAGTATAGTGGTATGTATTTTAGTTTGTATACCTGAACTCGCTTTCATCAACGGGAGGATCAAGCTGGCTAAGTGGGTAAGAAGCCGGCTCGCTAGCCTGCAGGGCGGGTGTTCGATCCCTGCATTGGCCGAGAAAGTTTCATCCAGATTTTACGGCGTGGTTCCCACTTGTCAGTGATGCAGGACGGAGGGCCTGACAAGGACAGCTGTCTAGTTGTTCGGATGGCACAAAAAAAAACAAGTTCCCGTGACACATTGGCATGCACGTAAAAGATCCCTTGACAGTTGGAATTCGATATAAGAGTAGTGCCGCTGTCCGGGCAAAATTTCCCTCATAGCACCCCGTATGGCGCATGCCCGTCTTCATTAACCCAGGTCGGTACTTTGATGTTGAATGGCATCTAATTTGAACCTTCTCATGATTTAAAGATACTTTCCCAGAAAAGTATTTATCGGGTGGCAATTTTGGTATAATCGAAAGTAGAAATATCCAATCTTACTAGAAAAATACTGGATTCCCTGAAAAACACTCATGAAGCGTATACAGGACAAAAATGTAAGGGTTCCCCTAATCGACAACCCGACGATTAGGGATGTCTGCTCGAGTGACGTCAAAGCTTGCACGAGAAGATCCCGGCGTTAGTGAGCGCTTGTTGTATGTATTGATAAAATTGATGACGAAATTAAGCGTACAACAGTATCTGAGATAAAAACCGCGGAAAAAGACGTGGGCAGTGGATAATCCGTGAATTTAATTAGGCGTCGATATTTGTGATAAATAATCAGCGACCAAAGACAGCATCGTCGTGTATATGAAATGAATTCTCCTCGGGCTTCACGAACATGTTGCTAGGTACTGTGACACGTGACACAAACATGACCCCTTTTAATCGATTTTTTATAGCAGGGTTTCCTTCACAAATTCAATGTTTTGAAAATGATTTGAAGCAAAATTTGGATAGATTAATTAGTTTGAATATGTTTGTAGTCCAAATATATCATCAAATCACCTGGTTTGTTCGCGGGAAAGTAACTTTATATGGAACTATCTCCACTTTGATTTGGAGTTAGTCCACGAATGATACATAAATTATTCTAGTTTTTGGTATATTTATATTATAATTCCGCCTTCAAACTGGATATGGAAATGTCATTTTGCATTTACAGATCCTCACAAGGAACACTTCATTCCTGCAATTCCTACATTGTCTTATTCCAGTTCAATCAAATAACGCACTTCGAGGAATGTAAAGGTACACACACCCATACACAACTGTATGCATTTATTGTATAGGAACAAATAACAGCTTGAAATGTAAAGTTGTAAGATTTGTTATTCACTACAGTATGGGGTTGTCCCTTTAATTCTATATTCACTTTTATAATGGCATGATTGGACTTTAATTGATATTTATTGTATTAAGACAGATAAGAACAATATAATTAGTGTGCTATTTCTTTTTTAAACACGATCTATTCTATAAATATTTATAAAGTACAATATATAATTACGGGATTTGACAACAAGCCGGAGTTACTATCAATTCATCTCCTGTTAGAAATTATTTACAGAAAATATAAATACATTGTTTAAAATTATAATCTTATATACTGGTATATAATTACTCTCAATTAATTAATCAAAATATTATATTAGATACAGTAAAACTGAGTTAATATCCTAATCAAAATATTATATTAGATACAGTAAAACTGAGTTAATATCCAGAACAGATTTATTTGTGTAGATTGTTCTTCGTAGTCTATTTACGTTTCTATAATATAATATTGTTTATCCGATTTACGGAATTTTTCCAAGAACAACATGTTTTTACTTTTTACTCTCCAATGTATTACAAATTGTATCACAGCTTTCGTAATATCTGTTTCTTAGAAGTAAATATGAGCGATACCATAAATAGTGGTTCTTTACGTAGAAATCTGATAAAGATATGAATAACATCTGTAAAGAAACTAACACGTCATCGTTTGCACGTGATCTTATCAGCTATAAAAACAAGAGTCGCTGACATTAATATTAGTTTACAAGCAGAATAACTTTTGTTTAAAACAGACTCTCGACGTCTAACATTTGAAAATACAAGTTCCAATATAACGCATCAGCCAGTATGGATATGAAATTAACCGTTCTCGTTGTCTTGGCAACCTTGTGTGGTGTAGGTAAGTTGGTATTTTAAATTTATCTAATTAACTTTAAATGGAATGGATTTGGATTTCTGTTCAATCAAAAAGAAATTAAAGAGACTATATAGCCTTTCGTTGATTTTTGGTGATGTAATAATAATTTTTGATTTTACTATGTTGTTAAACTCGGCGTGTACAAATCAGATGGTTTTGAGAGAAATCTGCCTATCCATAAAAATGAAATGAAATGTCATCGTGCTTTTCTGTACCAACGGGCTAATGGAGAAGGATACGTACGAAGTATTGTGTGGGGGTGGGGGTGCCCAGACAGCGATGCTAGGGCAAAATCTTACGTCAAATTCCAACTGTCACCGGATCTTTTACGTGCTCATAAACGAACCATTGGTAGGTGGAATATAGGTACAACCACCGTTGTTAGGGCGTGACGTTAAACCAGTTCCTATTACTTGCAATGATTTCATGGATTAACAAAACAAGAGATCAGATTGAAAGTGAAAGTTCTTATATATAATAGCGTAGGCCTATTGAAAATGTTCGCCAGGGCAGTAGAATTGTGTCTAGATCACTGAAATTAACTGGATGT